GTGAAAGGAGGGGAGATTGTAGTATGAGGGAAGGGGGGGACTGTAGGTCAGAGCTCGGGATGAAACAGTCCCCTGGGGAGGCAAAAGCAAGGGAGGGGGCAAGGATCTCGTCCTGCCACGGTTTGGGAACTGCTTCAAGAACAGCACAGATGACATGGTAACTGGTAGGAATGTCGATGAGCGGGTATTTGGTGGCGAACTCACTTTCGGGGATAGAACCGAGTCCGTCGATTGAGATTTGGGTAATGTCGCCGAGCCTGACCTCCTTGGACAATAGAAAATCCTCAGACTTGGTGGTACCAAAGGGTCTTCCGTTGGGTTTGAGGATAAAGCGATTGAACGCCGTTGGTTCAGCAAGAAGGCACATGGAGGACATGGGCGGAGCGGCCACGGTGGAGGGGAGGGATAGGAAGTTCTTGAGTTCCGCGAGAGCATGGGGGGGGGATTGAAGGGGGTAAAATGTTGGCCGACAAAATCAGCTTGTGGAGAGGAAGGCGTGAGAGCCAAAAAGGAGGGAGATTGCACAACGTGCGACTTCCTCAGAGGGCGTTGCACCGAAGCGGCGGAGGCCTCGTTGGATCGTGAGAGCTTTCATCTGAGTTGATGGACGGGTAGCGCCGAGGCCACCGTGTCGCGTCGAATTATAAAGAATCCGGTATGGGATGATGGGCATGGCGAAACCGGTTTCCTTAAACCGGGACGATGAGAGGAATGTGCTCACAATTGTATATAGTCTGGCAAGTATGTCAAATGGAGGAGGTTGGAAACGACCGGGGAAGGAGAGAACTGAATTTAGGAAGATGGATGCGAGAGATTTGCGGCACGTGGCAGTCGAGCGGAGTGCCGCTAAGAATTTGGCAAAGCGTTCGATGCGAGAAAGAGTGGTGGTCCAAGTGGTAGTGTTGGATAAGTTTTTATCGACAAAAAATCCAAGAATTCGTTCAGCTTCATTGGAAGCCCGGATAGGGATTTACCCTGCGTGGGTAATGAGGCGTTCCGGGATATTGAAAGGGATGATGGAACATTTGTTCCAGTTGGGGCGTTTGCCAGAGACTGCCGCAAAGATCATGAGGTGGGCGGTAGCAATTTCGAGCTCCTTGTCCGTCGAAAGGAAATTTCTAACATCGTCGGCATAGCAGGCCATGAGACGCTTGTTTGTGGCCGATAGGGGGAAGCCAGGGAGATATATGGACATGTGGTGGTGAAGAATTTTGATGGCGCAGACAAACAGGAGGGGGGCGAGTGGGCAGCCTTGCCGGACGCCTGTGCGCACAGGAAATGGGGCACCTTCCATATTGATTACAGAGATGCGAGTAGAAGTGTTGGAATGCATGAGATGGATCCACTTGATAAAATTCTCCGGGACGCCGATGTGTGAGAGAGCCTGGAATAAGAAGGGCCGATCCAGCAAGTCGTAGGCCTTACGGAAGTCTACCGTCAAGGCAAGGAGGGGAGTGTGTGTGAAAGTAGCCCAATCCATGATGTCGAGCGTATCATTAATCGTGTCGCCTATCTTCTGGTGTTTGATGAAGGCCGTTTGAGAAGGGTGTATAACGAGGGGAAGGAGTTGTTGGAGACGGTTAGCCAAGCAGAGAGCTAGAACCTTGTAATCTGCATTCTTGAGGGTGATGGGACGGTGATTGTCTACTAGGGAGACTTTCCCCTTTTTGGGGATGAGCACTGTTCGAACGGAGAGCATAGAGGGGGGCAGGGAGGGGGGCAGGGAGGGCGGGACCAGGAGGGCCAGGAATGCTGGAGCAAAGCGAGGTTTGTAAAACCTGAAAAAATCTCAAGGGAGCCCATCCGGACCAGGGTTCTTCTCGCACGAGAGATGGCTTAGGGCTTTGCCGATTTCAGTCAAGGAGAAGGGGGCTGCGAGTGCGGAAGTGAGGGCAGGAAGGGGAGAGGAGCGAAGGATGTGTCGCCAGAAGTCGGGGTTTGGGGAGGCGGACGGAGTGCCGCTGTAAAGGGATTGGAAGAAGATGGAACATGTAGTGGTCATGGTGTGGAGGTCGCTAATGCTTTGCCCATTGGGAAGGGTGATGGATGAGATGAGGGATGCTTTAATGCGGGAGTTAATTCCTACGACAAGAGATGAATTCCCCATCTCGCAGGGTCCTTCGACCTTGAGTTTAGCTTTGAGAGCAAGTTCAGCGGCTTTAGCGGCAGTGTACCTTGCGAGCTGTTGCTGGGCCTTGCAAAGGCGAGCGACTGACTCCGGGTCTAAAGGGGAGACTGCAGATTGTAGTCGGAGCTGGTTAATACGGTGATAAAGGTGTTCAAGAGTCTTGTGCACCCGACGTCTTTCTTGGTTGGAGAACCTAGGCGCAGCGTAAGGGCGAGTTTCCATGCATCCCATTCTTCCGGAGACGGAGAGGGAGGTAGGGTGGGGATGAGATCTTCCAAAACTTTAGCAATGTATGGACGGGAAAGGAGGGACGTGCTAAGCCTCCATGGGCGGGGGGCTCTGGAGGGGAGCTCGAACGCTAAGGAACATAGTGGAGCGTAAGCGTGATCAGATATGATGAGGGGGTTGAGGAGGTAGGGGGAAGCTGCAAGTCGGTTCTGGAAGGAGGTGGAGATGTACATCCGGTCCAGCCGGGAGGTGGGTTGCGGTACTGCAGGGAGGGGGCTTGTACGCGGGGGTATAGCGGGTCGGGGTATTGTGGGGGCGAGAACCGCAGGCAAGGGGCCCACATATGGGGTTTTGGCGGGTCGGGCTAGCACAGGTCGGGGAGTGGCGCGAGGAAGTCCGAAGTAGGAGAAGACGGTGGCGTTGGGGTGGAGTGCCCGGAAGGTATCAGCGATCGAGTGTTCGGTTAGCAGTGCCTCGACAGCGGAGGCTTCACTCCGTTCATGACCGTGCAGGGGGCGGTTGCGATCAGAAGGGTGGATTACAGAGTTGAAGTCCCCTACGACTAGGGTTGCAGATGTAGCTGATGGAGAATCCAGCATCAGAGCAAGGCGCGAGCGCCACCAGGGGCGTCTGTCTGCATGGGGCGGGGCGTATATAGCTATGAGCCTTAATTGCTCGTGGTGGAAGTTGACGTCGACGGAAAGTAGACGACCGTCGGTTGACGGTGTATAAGAGGTAAGAGAGATTGATTTGTTAAAAACGAGGATAGATATGCCACCGGGGTAGGGGCGTGCGCCTGACGAGGGGGTGTTACAGTAACGTGCCATTGTGTGGGCAGAGGCATGAGGGAGAAAGCCTTTTCACATTGTCGGTGAGGCGGGTATCAACAAGTATGGTGATGTCAATATTCCTTCCGTAGAAGATGAGCCATCCTTTTAAAGCGTTCAATTTAAAAGGGGCATTTAGTCCGTTGATGTTGAGACATAGTATTATAAGGTGGGTTATCATGATGGGTAAAGTAGAGCCCATCACGCACCGAGGTGGGCAAATCCATGGGCTAATATATGAGGAAGAGTTTGAGTGTTCAAATCCGGTAAGTTTTGAGTGCACATGAAACTGAAACCAGTAGCAAGATATATAATAGCATATCACTGTGTTGTACACAAGAAAGTTAAAGCAATCGCATGGCAAAGATAGAAGCAGGAAAACGTCCAGAAACCACCGATCTGCAGCTAGGCAAGGAATTCAACAGCCTTGGGGGTAGCAACGAAGGCCGCATCAGCAGCAGAAAGCTAGAATGGCTAGTCGCCGACACTCTTGTCAAGGACTTTCAATACTAACAATGTCGGCCTCAGCCGTGTCAGTGTCAAGATCTGAATATATTTTTGGGATCTATGCAACGGGAACTCTATCAAGACACCAACATTGTGCTCACACAGAGAGCATTGGGTCGTCAAGTATTTTCCACCGCGATCCTGTTCTTCAGTCAATGAACTGCACGTGCTTATCAAGACATTTCTCTGTTCGTCCTTACGAAGTTAAGACGGTTCCAGCGCTATATTCAAGGGAGCAAAAAGTGATCGACACCCAAGCAAAGCAAGCCTGCAAGATCAAGTGCAAGATTATTACCAACCGAAATGTATTCAGATTATTGTCGTTTTCTGCCATTCAACATAATCAAGACGACAGCAGCATCGCAAGTCTCAACGAAAGAGACGGACTGGAGGTTTTTCGTCATGGCAAAGCATGTCGGAGGTGCATCACGATTTTCCTATCTTAAGCTTGTCTACTGAAGGTTTCGAGGTCGAAGATGCTCTTCGTAATTCAACCCTGGTCGACGCAATGACACCAAAAACCAGATCAAGGGAGTTGCTGATGAAGAGAGTGGAAGGTTACTCTGACTTAATGATTTGGAAAAACAGGAGGTCAAATGTCGAAGTTTCCGACGTTTAGATTTTCCCTACGCTACAAGAGGTTTTTTTCCATCTGGAGGATACCGACGCATTCGTCAGAATGTTTCGACGCCATGAATCAGAGCGAGCTGCAGGACGTGCTTTTCTCTCTGAATGTGTTTTGCTCTATGCTGCTCCCATCACACCACTCACACGATCGGCTCGAATGGCTGCAATGAATGGAAGCATTCGTTCCCAAGGCCCTGCCAGGCAGCAACTTCGAAGCAGGGCAATTTCTGATGTAACCAAACTCAACCAATCTCGGTAAGGCAGGATCAACCGACCAAGGCTGAAGATACAAACTCGTCACCAAGGCCGTGTTCGACAACAATGATCAAGAGCTGTTTTTGTTGCAAACCAATTCCACCATACCAGACAAGGCATGTTTGGAGCCAATTGTTCAAATTTGAAGCTACACACTCAGCAGTTGGATACAGAGGTGGCAGTGCTGAAGAGTGCCAACGGCACAATGGGAGTCTATAGCGGGCAGATGAAATTATTTAGGCGTCTAGTCTATAACCCTCCATAGATATCTGAGAGGGTACGGTATACACTACCTATGACCTCTAGCTACGGTTACGACCGACGGTGTTTTTGCTTTGTATAATGCATTTTCACATTGTTGTACGCATCAAGGTGAAAGCAACAGCGAGGCAAGGATAGCAGCCAGAAACTGTCCAACAACCACCGTTCTACAGCATGGCAAGAAAGTTGGCGATATGGGGAAGAGCAACGAAGGCCATAGCCTTCCACCCAGTGTATTTCTCCTTCGCGTCTGGGACATGAGCTGCAGCGAGCTTCTTGGAGGCGTGCTGACCGGAGGCAATGTGGGCCATAGCCGAGTCGAGAGCAGTGCCGCATGTCAGTTTGCACAAGGCACATGTCCATGGCTCGAAATCTGCGTCGAGGCCGATGGAGAGCAGTCCAGGGTCGTTGCGGAAAGCTGCAGGCGCGGCGCGGGAGCCGAGCACCTGGCCTGGAGGGCAGCGGACGGGGAAGGAACAACAAGGGCAGCAAGGGAGTAAGGATCGTGCAGTGCGGGGGCAGCGAACCTGCCCGTGGACAAAGATTGGCCAGCAAGTGGGGGAAGGGGGGCTGCAAAGAAAGGGCCGAGGTAGGGGGCAAACGAACTATGCAGATGCAGGGCGGGTTCTTGGAGCCCAGCGTGGGGGGGGAGGAGGAGCGTAGGACGTGGTGACTGAGATAGGGGTGGGAGAGATGGGTTAGGGGAAAAGGAAAGGCTGCAAGCACTTCCCGTGAGCCAAAACGTAGTCCACATTGGAGGTGAGTCAAAGTTTGGGGTAAGGAGGACAGGGAGGGAATATTCAGGTTGGGGGAAAGTGGAGGGCTGCAAACACAGCCCACGAGCCGAGCGGCTGGCCTGAGAGGGAGGTGGGGCAGAGCCCAGGGTAGAGGGGACATGGAGGGTAGAGGTGGGTTGGGGGTGAGAGAGGAGCTGCATTCACAGCCATAGAGCAAAGAGGACAGGGATCGGGGTAGGGAGGACAGTGAAGAAGGAGGTGGGTCAGGGGTAAGGAGGGGGTTACTAGCACAACCAAAGAGCCAGGCGACATGCCTGGGAGGGGGATGAGGCTGAGCATGGGGCAGGGAGGACAGGGGGGGTAAAGGTGTGGTGGGTGAGGTGTGAGCGATGCAAACGCGACCCGTGAGCATAAGAGAAGGCCTGAGAGAGAGGTGGGGCGTTCGGGGTGGGGAAGGTAGGGAGAGTAGAGGCGGGTTGCGGGCAGTAGAAGGGCTACGAGCACAGTTCGTGAGCCCGACAACTGGCATGAGGGGGGGGAGGAGCAGAGTTCGGGATATGGGGGACAGGGCGGGGAGAGGCAGGATGGGGGTAAGAGGAGTACTGCAAGCACATCCCATGTGCAAAAAGGCTGTCATGCGGGGGAAATGAAAACGGAGGGTGGGGTACGGAGAGCAGGGAGGGTAGAGGAGGGTAGGGAATAAGGGGGGGGGCAGCAAACACAGTCCGTGATCCAAAGAGCTGGCCTGAGATAGGAGTGGGACATAGTTCGTGGTGGAGAGGGCATGAAAGGGGCAGGTTGTGAAGGCAAGCGGGGAGAGGGAAGAATGCACCAATAGAGCCAAAACAGCCAAAAAAGGAACGGGGGTTGAGAATGCCACCAGGGGGGGGGGCAGAAAGCAATGGGGCAGAGGGGACGGGCTTACTGTTGGCTTGCTGCAGCTGGGCGACCGAGAGTTGCTGCTTGTTGGACAGGCGCTGCCTGCGCTTGGTGGGAAATATCTCGTGGTCTGCATCGCGGTGGTTATTGCAACAGAAGGAGCACATATGGGAGGAGATGTTGAGCAGAGCCGGGGGGGAGTCATCTTCGAAGTTGATGACCGGGGGGATGCAGAGGAAGCCAGGGACATCCTGCGGGGGGAGCGGGATGCTAGTGAAAATAGGGAGGAACATGTCCTCATAGGGGTCCTTGACCTGGTGGAAAAACTAGAGGTCCGCGAGCCAGGAAGCTTCACCCGCAACATCCTGATGCATCAGCGTGGCAGCACCTTCTGCACTAGCGGAGGTGAAGCGCGGGTAACGATCGACGTAGACTTTTAGCAGCACCGATCGGGAGTTGGGGAGGTGGAACGTGTGCGGGAAGATGCCTTTGAAATCGTCGGCATCATCTTGGGAGGGCCAGGAGAAGCAAAGGCGTGTGTAGGCACGTCGGGGGATGCGGAGTACTCCCCCCACCGAGGGCTGGAACTTGGGGATGACGTTGTTGCGGAAATGAAATGGCTGCAGGTGCTTTGAAATGCGCGTGATCAGGTCGGCGCGGATAGCCTCCGCTCCCGCCTCAGGGAAGATAACTTCCACCACCGCAAGTCTCCTGCGGGGCATAACGGGGATCAAAATCGCCGCACGTTGACGGTAAAAGGTTGCGCGAGATAGCAAAGGTTTCCGCATGATCCGTCTGGTCCTCGGGGACACCTCCGGCAGCAGCAGGAGCGAGCTGGCGCGGCGGATCTGCTGCAGACGGAGAGGCAACAGGGGCAGCAGAAGAGGCCGCGTACGCGGGTGGGATGAGAGGGGCCTTGGAGTGAGGAGAGACCGCCTGAGCGGTTGCGAGAGGCGCAGTTGGCAGAGCGTTTGCGTTGGGCAGCGGGGTTGAGGTATTCGGGATGGGTAGAGCCGAGGAGGAGGGACCAGGGACAACGTCAGAGACGTCTCCCTCAGTGCACAACTTCTTGGAAGCGGGGGCGCCATCTGTAGGAGGGTCTGCAGGGAGCGAGCCATCGGGAAGGTCTTCCAATTGGAGCTCCTCAGCGACAAGCTGCAGTTCGTCGTCAGCGAGCGTCATCTCGTCATCCGGATTATGACGCAGGGCGGCCATGGTTGTTGGGGAAACGCAGCGGAGGGCGATGTGGAGAGAGGGAGAGGGAAAACATAGCGGAGGGCGATGAGGAAGAGGGGAGGGAAGGCGTGTTATGTACTCGGCAGCCGAGCAGGGTGGGTTTTTTCCCAAGCAAAGGGAGGTGGGCAGAGGGAAACGGGTGCATAGGCAGCGGCCATTGCGAGCCCGAGGCGACTGGGTGCTTAGGTGGCATCCCGAGTCAAAGAGATAGACAGCATAGAAGTTTCTGGAGCAACCACTAGTGACAAATGTGGCTTGGTCGTTTTCAGGGAACCGAAGGATAGAAACAAAGATATATTTCACAAGTAAAGGGCGGGTGGCAGGTAGTCCGGGAGCCATGAATGTGAAGAGGGTGGGTTGAATTTTCGATTTACAACCAAAGAAAATGATTATGACGTAGGCGGGGTGACCAGGAAACAGGAAAAATATATGGTAGCGTGGGGAGCCAGAGTGAGGCGAAAGATCTACAAATCGTGGCACAGAAAGCAGATGGCAGCGAGGTGGAGGAATATGAAGGTTCTCGAACGAAGCTGAAAACCGCGTTTAGGAAGTAAGGAAATATAGGGAAAAGCACAAAGCAGCAACAGAGAACATCAACAGCAAAGCAGTAGCAAAGCCTACACAAAGAGATCAAATGTGGAGATAGCGACCTTACCTTAGGCCTGTGCGACGTCGGTGAAGGGGAGCCTGCTGAAGGCAGCGTGGCTTTCACATCGAGAGGCCCAAGGGTTACGGGGAAGTAGCGCTATGGAGTTGTGGCAAGAAATTTGCTGGTGTGAAGGTTCTAGAGAAACCAGATCTGGATCTGGATAGAGGGGACACATTTTCGTGGTTGCTGGGTTTGGGTGGATCAAGGCAGGAGGCAGGGCGACATGAGTCGAAGACCGGCGTGGGGTGGGGAGTGGACCACCTGACGCGGAAAGGGTTGCCCCCGCCCGAAAAAAAAACAAGAGGCTACGAAATATTCTAAGGTTTGCGAAGCATTCTGCATATATAACTTATTTTGTTTAGCTTCTATTACTACGTATTGATCTCAATTTGCATTATTGCCTTTTTTGAACTCAGAGGTTTGCAAATTGCTTCTGTAGGACTCGAACCTGAGACCTTTCGATTCCTTATCCAAGTTCAATCAACTGCGCTACCGCCGTCCTACAATGAATGCGACGTAAGTCTTTTGTTAGTTATCGGTGCAACGAATTACTCACTCCCTTAGGGTTTGCGTCTCCCCTTTCCTCGCTCTTTTCTTGTTGCTAAACTAGGTTCTAGTCATGCTCCACCTACCTATGTAAGGTGAGATCATACCTAAGCTGTCACCTAGAATTTGATTACTATTAGCTAGACTAACATTTCGTAATCTAGTATCCTCACCGTTCAGATGTGAAAGGCCTACCTTTGCACAGTTTTACCTGCACAATTGTTTGCAACAACAAATATGCCTACTAGATGGTGCGAAGAGCACCAAACGTTTTCATCATGCTTGCAATATATCAGAAATTGGAAAATATCCAAAACATCGCTAGAAATAAACAGCAGGACGTTGAAATGACACATTTTGTTGATGATGCCGATCTTTGCACATGTTTCCATGCTCAGTTGTTTGAATAACATATCTTCCTACCAATCTATGCGAATGGCGCCAAACATGTCCAGCATAAAAAAAATAGAGTAGGTGTTTGAATTATGAATCATCATTAAAATCCATGCTAAAAAAAAAGCACAAGACGTCAAAACAGTACCACGTGTTGCACAGCATATCCTTGCATATATTTCCCTGCTCAATTGTTCGTAACACAACCTCCTCTCACCACGTTGTCCGAATGGTACAAAATTTGTCCAGCATGCTTGGATTATGAAAATATTAAAATTAAAAGAAAAAACCATGCTTGAAAAACCACATGACATTGAAGCGACAACACATATCTGTCAGATATATATGACTTAGCCTTTGTAGGCTATATTGGGGTAGACACTAAGGGGTACAGGTTTCTAGGGTTTCATATTTGTACCCAACACTTTCCTAGTTCATTCATTCCTCGTATAATTCTCACATGGTATAGAGCGGGTTCCCTAGTGGGACCGTTTTTTTTTTTTTTTCCTAAGGGCCCACCACTACGACTTTCTTCTCCCTTACCTGCCCGAAGCGCGTTTCGCGCCTGCCCTTAAGCGCCCAGTCGCGCCCTATCACGGCCCTTTGTGGCCTCTTTGCGCCCTTCGCGGCCCCTCTAACGGCCCTTCGCGGCCCCTTCGCGGCCCTTCGCGACCCCTTCGCGGCCCTTCGCGGCCTCTCTCGCGGCCCTTCGCGGCCCCTTCGCGGCCCTTCGCGGCCCCCTCGCCGCCCTTCGCGGCCCCTTCGTGGCCCTTCGCGGCCCCCCTCACGGCTCTTCGCGGCCCCTTCGCGGCCTTCGCGGCCTTCGCGGCCCCCCTTCGCGGCCTTTCGCGGCTCTTCGCCGCCCCTGCAGCAGCTGCCGTCGCCGGCTTCCCGCGTCGACCCGCCGCTGCGGCCCCGCACTGCCCCTCTCCCGGTTGCGGCCTCCCCCTGCAGCAGCCGCTGAGGAGCCCTGCAGCAGCTGCTGTCCCTGCCGCCGCCGCCGAGCCTGCCTCCGCCGGTGTTGCGAGCCGCCGCCGCCGCTGCCGTCTCTACTGCCCCGGCCCTGCCCTGCAGCCGAGCCGCGGCCCTGCCCTGCCGCCCAGTCGCGGCCACCCTACCCACCCGCCCCTGGTAAGCGCACCGCCGAGCCGCGCCGCCCTGCCGAGCCGCGCCGCCCTGCCGAGCCGCGCCGCCCTGCCGAGCCGCGCCCTTTAGCCGAGTCGCGCTGCCGCTGGTGCTGCTAGGCTACTGCTGCTGCTGTCATGGCTAGTCCCAACGTGCTTACCTTCGATGCTGAGGGGCGAGCTGTCGACTTTGAGGTCTGGGTTGATGATCTGCAGCTTTTTCTGCAGTGTGATAGCAAGGACGGTATCTCACTGTTTGATCTCACCTCTGGCGCCTCTGCTGCACCTGCTGCTGATGCTGCCAGTACTGTTCGCTCACAGTGGATCACGCGGGATGCTGCTGCCCGTCTTGCTGTCCGTAGTCACCTGCCTTCTGCTGAGCGCGCACACTTTAGCCAGTACAAGACTGCTAGCACTCTGTACACTGCTGTTGTTGCGCGCTACTCCTCCCCTGCCACTGCTGCCCTTAGCCGCCTCATGCTGCCGTACCTGTTCCCTGACCTAGCCGCTTTTGCCACAGTCGCTGACCTCATTACGCACCTTCGCACTAGTGACACCCGCTACCGCGGTGCACTTCCTACCGAGTTCTGCGCCAAGAACCCCCCCCCTATGTACGTCACTCTCTACTACCTCGTTACCCGGCTCCCTGACTCTCTTTGCTCGGTCAGGGACCACTTCCTCTCTCTTTGCCCTACCACGCTCACCGTTGACCTCCTCGAGGAGCGCCTCCTTGCAGCTGAGAAGAGTATAGTCGCTGTAGGAGCCTCTCGTGGTGACCCCCGTGCCCCTTTCTTTGAGGGGTGCTCCCCCGTCCCTCTTTTGCCCTCTGTTGCCTCTGCTGCTGCTGTCGACCTCGTTGGCACCGAGTCGGTCGGCACTGCGACTGCTCCTAGTGGCAGGCGCCGCAACAGCAAGGGCAAGTGGGGCAAGGGGGGTGGAGGGGGCGGCGGGGGCGGCGGTAGTGGCGGTGGAGGAGGAGGAGGGGGTGGGGGTGGAGGTGGGAGTGGTGGCGGGACTGGGGCCTTAGGTGGCGGCGGTGGAGGTGGAGGCGGCGGAGGCAGCGGGAGTGGGGGTGGGGGTGGCGGCGGTGGCGGAGGAGGTGGGAGTGGTGGGGGTGGTGGTGGGCAGCGGGGAGGCTCTAGCGGTGGCCAGCGCCAGCAGCAGCAGCGCTCCCGTGAGACCCCGTCGCCTCAGCAGCTTCGTGAGTGGTACGCTGGGCGTGGGAGGTCTGGGGGTGCTGGTCCCTGCACCTACGTTCTTCGCACCGGCGACCGCACTGGAGAGACGTGCGGAGGCCCGCACACCACACCACGCTGCTTCGGCCGCCTGACTGACGCCTGGCGCACTCAGTTCCCTGGCTCCTCGGAGATCCCTCGCTGGGATATTCTGCTTAAGTCGGGGGTTGCTATCTTTGATCTTGATTATGATGCTATCCTTGCTGCTATGTATCCTGTGTCTATTAGTGATGAGGTTGACTGTTACCTGTGTGTCCCGCCCGACCCGGGCATTGAGGCTGCTGCTCTAGGTGCTAGTGAGTCTGCTGCTCCAGGTGCTGGTGAGGCTGCTCTCTCAGGTACCGCGTCGGCTCAGGTCTTGCACACTTTCACCCTTGACTCGGGTGCTTCCCGCTCCTTCTTTCGCGACTGCACCACCCTCTCGCCGCTCAGTCGGCCGGTGGCAGTCTCTCTGGCTGACCCCTCTGGGGGACCAGTTGTGGCCCGTTCCTCCACTGTCCTCCCGTGTCCTGCTGTTCCGTCCGGCTCGCTGTCTGGTCTCCACCTCCCCTCGTTCTCTACGAACTTGGTGGCGGGTGCTGATCTTCAGGATGGGGGTGTTCACCAGTTCACCCCTGCTCACCAGCGTGTGACGCACTGCACGTGTGCTCGGACGGGTCGTCACCTGGCCACGTTCACCCGTAGGCCAGGGTCCAGCCTGTACACCCTTACCACTGAGTCTCCTCCTCGTCAGGTAGCCGCGTCGGGTCAGGTGTTTGCTGCAGCGTCCCGGTCTGGCCCTGAGTCTGCCCCCTGCTCGTGTCGCCTTCTGGCCCACGAGACTCTTCTTTGGCACCACCGCCTTGGTCACCCCTCCCTGCCTCGTCTTCGAGGCATGGCCTTCCGTGTCCTGGTCTCGGGTCTTCCTGAGTCCCTCCCTCCCCTTCCTCCGGGGCCTGCCCCTACCTGCGTTCCCTGCGTCGAGGGCCGGCAGCGCGCCGCTCCTCACTCCTCCGAGTTTCCTCCGACAGAGGCCCCACTGCAGACTCTTCA